ACCAACCTTAATTATCCAATGGTTGAATTAATTAAAACACTTTAGGAATTTTAAACTTGGTTTGATCATTTTTGGTTTAATTTCTAGTTTTCTTGAGTGTGGGGTAGGGGAACTCGAATGCAACGTGACTTTCAGTGATCTCTGAGCTGTGTTTTGGGGGACTGTGCGTTGGTGGCTCACAGCTCCTACAGTACAGGATATGATCTCAATGTAGTGCATATAAAACCGCAGATTGATTTTCCTTGAGTGCTTTATACTGTTTAATTACATCTCCATGTAGGGCTGAAAAAAATTACCTATGTTTATATATAACTGTGTTGCTTTTGATGTTGTGTTCCTGCGCACGGAGGGTGCGCGATGAGGTTTGCCTTGGTCCAGGTACAGCACGATAGCCGCGCGAGTTCAGTACTGCTTCCGTTCATTGTTTACGCTGGAATTTTTTCTCCCCATGGAATGTAAGTAAAAACGTAGTGTTTGTCACAAATAAATGGTAATACTAAATTTTTTTTTTTTTTGGGTTAATTTATTCTTGTAATGCCACCACGGGGGCTGCTTTTTTGATAGATTTGTAATGCTTGTGCTCTAGTCCAGGCAGTGTGTGAAGCTGTGGAGTAACTTATGGTGGGTCCCTGCTCGTGCCGTGCAGGGTGTGCAGACCTGGCAGGGAAGGGAATGCGAAGTGACGTGGCTACGGTTTGTTATTTGTGCCACAGTGTGTTAGTGCAGCTTTGTTAATGGGAGCTTACACTGGAGTTTTAAGTGAAACTTAAAAGTCAGCTTAGACGAGGACCCTGGCGCGGCCGGTGGGTGGGACTGCTTCAAGTCTCCACTTTGAAGTTTCCTTGTTTGCTTGGAGTCCCAGCCTTGCCTTGCCTTGTGACTGGGGGGCAGTGCTGCAAACCAGACCTGACACGTGTCCGTGTCTCCTTCGGTGTGTCCTTACCTGCGACCTGTAGCCGTTCCTGCGCTGTGCAGCACCCGCAGGGACTCAGCACCCGCAGGGACTCAGCACCCGCAGGGACTCAGCACCCGCAGGGACTCAGCACCCGCAGGGACTCTGCCACAGAGAGCAGCTCCTGCAGGTGCTGTCTCAGAGCTACGTGTCTTGGCCGTTGTATTTGCATCATCCAAGGCAATCGGGCCACAGGAACTGCAGACCAGATTGCATTGAATCACGTTGGGTTTGATCATGACGAGCAAAAAAAAAAAAACCCAAACATTGTAAAGGTTTTTTTGTTTTTATTTTTTTTTTTTTACATTTGTAGAACTAAAATGCTGTACATTTAAAAATTAAAAGAAACTTGCTAGGCTGAGGCTTTGTATTGCAAATTCTTCCAACTGAGAAAGTCCTTACCAAACAATTCCTATTGGAAAGGGAGCACGCTGACAGTGGTGGGAATGCTCTCCCCACCTGCACCTGCTGCTGCTGAGGAGTTTTCTCCTTGGATGGGACTAGAGCCTGTTATTGTCCCTGGATCCACAGAAACACTTGTTACAGAATATTAAAAAACATTCCCAGAACTTGTTGTTGCTGTTGTTTTGGTTTAGGATATAGACAACTGACCCTTCTTTTGGACAAATCACACCTGAAAGGACTCAGTCTGGAGTCAGCGGGGTTGTTATTCTTAATTCCCCGGTCAAAGTTTAGTAACATATGCAACAGAATTAAATGGAGCTGTACTTGGCAGCTATTTTGTTACCTAAGGATCAAACCAAAATTCTGTTTCAACCCACTGATCAAAGTCAGAAATAGTTTTATTTCCCTCCTACTCTGTAAAGACAAATGGTGGAGGTTCCACAAGTGCCTAACTGCAGGCAGGGATGAGATGTGTGGATACCACTTCACTAGTCTTTTGTGAAGCAACCCCATAGTTGTTTGCTGCTTATAATACTTATACAAGAGTGCATTTTATTATTTGATGAAACAAATTATTTTGTATAGCACTAGCAGGATCCTAAGGAAACAAAATTGTCTTTGATTAAAAATGACACATTATAGTGCTTTTAAACTTTACTCATTCTCCCACTTCCACTTTCACAGTATTTTTAGCAGCCTGCTAATAGAGGATAGTTTAGATTTTAAAAGTCCCATGTTAATGATGCAGGAACCTGTTCTCCACAGAGCTTTTCATGCTTTCACCCTGTTCTTCCACTTGTGTTTATTATTTCCAAACAAAAGACAATCTCTTATGTTTAAATGCCTTTTTCAGTCCAGAAGGGAGATCATTGCTCCCAAAGCAGGCAGTCCTGGTGGTCACTGTCAACACCCCGTTGGTACAGCCCATGTGCTCACACTCATGTTGGGGTTCAGGAGATGCTGCCACAGCCCCTGTGAGGGCTGGCAGGGAATACAAACACATTCGTCCCAAGCTGTGGTACTTTCAAAAACACCCATGGGATTTTTAGCCTTTTACCCTCACCCTGGGCATGCCCATGAGGCAGGGCAGGGGCTCTGCTGCTATGGGACTTGCACAGAGCAGGCAGAGGGGCACAGGGCGGGAGGTGCCAGCAGTGCCCACCCTGTGCCCAGGCTGGGCTGATGCTCCGGGGAGGAGCTGCAGGGCACAGGCTGCTGCTCTGCCCCGAGGTGCCCACACCAGAGTTCCCACTGCAAGGAGACAGTGGGGAGAACTGGGACTGGAGAGACTTTTGCTGCCTCTTGAGGAACTTCCTGAGTCCAATGAGCCCTGACTGAGCTCAAGAACTCATCTTGCTAAAGACATTTTCCACTTGGTTTTGCCATGGAGAATAAAACCCAGTGAAATCAAATAAATTCAATACTAAGCTCTGCTGCAGCTGTTGAGTACCCCAGACCTTCTCACTTTCCCTTCCTTGCCAAGCTAAGCAACACAAATCATGTTTACAGTTCCTTTTTGCGCTGTGCATGTGACATGGGTTTGCAGTGTAACAAGATTAGTTTTCCCTGTAATCTTCTTTAAAATGTCCTTCCTGTGATTGTCTTTTCATCTTTTGGTGTTCTGGAACTTGGATTAATGGCATTGAGATTTATTCCACAAGTCCTGTTTGATAGGCTGCTTTCAAGATTTAGTTGCCTACAAACACACTTAATCTGGAAAAAGCATTTTAACGGTACCTGAATTAAGCGGTTTCTGCCAAACATCCTGTAAGGCCCATTTATGTCCCTGCAGGATGCGCCTGTAGATACTACTGGACAAGTAAAACAAGGCAGGCTTATCTTTCAGAGCATCTAAAACACCTCCCGTGGCTGCCCCAGGCAGATTTGCAGAGCCTTGGCTGTATTTTGCAAACCAGCCAACAAACTGATCAGGTGCTTTTTCCTGCTTTCATCATGTTTCAAGCACCATCCCTGACCTGCCCTTTCCACAGGTCCCTAGAGATGCTCTCACCTCCCAACCAGCTCAGTCAGGTCACCGAATCCTTGATGAGATGGTAGGACCTGGTGCCAAGGTGCTGGCTTGTGAAGCACCGCAGGACAAGTCACCCTTCTCACACCTTCTCGAGCCTTGGCAGAATCTACGTGTGTTTTACAAACAGAAAAACCCAAAGCATGGAGCAATTACATGATTCTGAGCTAGTCTGGACCAAAGCAGCTTCCTGCAGCACTCAGAGCTGTTCAGCTCCTGCGTTTATTCCCCAGAAACTCCCCTGCTGATGGAAACTGGCTTCCGGCTTTGTGCCTCTCCCTGCCTGTGCCCCTGCGTGATTCCATTTCAACCCCCATCTTTTAGCGGGTGTTATTCCAGGGACAGAAGTTCCCGCCTTCCCCGGGAGGGAGGGCCATGGCTGCAGAACAACGCTGCGATGAGAGGGCGGGCCGTGCTGGGCTGGCCTTGCTGAACACGGAGCGATGCTCACACCGCTGGAGTGCAGGACTCTGGGAATACCTTCCACGTGTGCTCAAGGATGTCATGTGGCACGTCTCCACTAGGTCTGGGTGGCTGGATTCACAGCCCGTTTCCAAGGTGCATTTATAGCTATAAAAGCATCAGTCACGGCAGTGCTTGAATTACAGGCTGGGCTGTTTTCATTCAAGACATCCTTTGTTCTCTGTTCCATTCCTGACGTTACCCAGTGGCAAACTAACGCAACGTGATTTGCCAGCCTCTAGCAGCTAAAAGCAAAGTACCCGACTGTGACACGTACCCCAGGCACGGACACAGACCCGCGCCGAGCCCCGTCCCGGGGAAAACAGGGGGTCATCGGGCGGCCCCCGAACCGCCTGTGGGGCTCCTGCTCCGGGCTGAGGGTGATCAGAGGCGTGAGGGATGTTAGCACCGCACCTGCACGTGCCTTTGGGTGAGTCACTGAACACCTCTGAACCGGTGGGGATTTTTTTTTTCCATTAGGAAGGGAAAATTAGTCACGCTCGCCCGTCCCGGCGAAGCACACCGGCCGCACCTCGGCCCCGGCCGCGCTCCCCCGCCATGAGGCGCCGCGCCCGCCCTGCCCGGCACCGCGAAATGGCGGCCCCACCGCCGCCGGCCGCGCCTCTCGCCCCCTGCACCGGCTCGGGGACCGCGGCAGCCACAGGAGGGCCACAGACGGTCCGGCCCCGCGCGGCCCCTGGGCGGGAAGCGGAGCGGGGCGGGGCGGGCGGGGATCGCGGATGAGGCGGGAGCGGCCCCGCGGCCCCCCCGGTACCGCCCGACATGGCGGCGGCACCGCCCCCTCGGCGCGGGCGGGGCCTGCGCAGCCCATAAAGGGCCTCGCGCGGGGCCCTTCGGCCTCTTTGTGCGGCGCGGCCGAGGTGGGTGTGCGGTCACTTGGGGCTGGGGGCCGCGTGCGGGTGGGCCCTGGATCCCCATGTGCCCGTTCCCGGGGGTCGGCCGTGCCGGTGCGGGTGTCTGCCCGCGGCACCTCGCTGCCTGCCCGCTGAGGCCTCCGCTCGGCCTCCGGCCCGGCCCAAAGGCTCCTTGCGGGGCTCCGCCCGCGTTCCCGGTGAGGGGCCGGCTGTCGCGGGCGGGCCACACAGAGCTCTCTGCACCCGCCCGGGCGCTCGCTGGTGGAGTGATGACTCTTTCCCCGTCAGAGCGACAGTGTTGAGCACTGCTGTCCAAGCCAGATCGTGTCTGATGCACCAGCGGAGCCGCCGCCGGGCCCGGGGGCGGTCGAGGGCTGGTAATGACTGTTCCTCAGTGCTGACTGTTCCTTGTTTCCTTGCAGGGCGAGCCGGAGCCCGGGACGCCTCTGGGACCCCCATGACCGGGGCCAGGCCGGCGATGGGGGCACGTACCCGGGGTGTGCCGCAGGGTCTGAGCCCCTGCGGGGGGGGAGCGGTGAGTGCGTAAAGTGACTGTGCGTTAGTGGTTTAAATATATACGTTTAAATATATAATTTTTAATATGTTCAAATATATTTATTTCTGCGTATATGCACATATAAATAAATTGCTCCTGCAACGCGTTGGTGTCCCTGGAGAGCTGTCACGTGTGGTACGGCCGCTGGCCGGGTCCCTCTCCCCGCGGGACAGGGGCTGCAGCCCGGGCAGGGCGGTGGGTGCTGGCCCCGGGGTGGTCCGGGGGTCCTGCCCCGCCACGGGCAGTGCTGGGCACTCCGGGTCCCGGTGCTCACGGCCCAGCTGTGCCTCCCTGCGGCCTGCACGGCTCCTGCTGCAGGAGCCTCACACGGACAGAAGGCCTGGGCCTGCAAAAAGTAATAAGCTATTAATCTCTGCTTGTTGCCTCTTTTATGTGCCTTGACTGTGTTGTTCTCTGCTCTGGAACCCCCATACGTAGGTGTTTGTTCTTAATTTTTGCGGGGAATATTTCCCTGTCCCTTGTGCCTGTTGAGCCTACTGACCAGCCAGCTGTTTTTGGGGAAAGAACAGCATGAACTCCCTCACTGCCCATGGATCTGCTGGGGGAGGTGGGAGTGTGGCACAGCTGCACTGGGGGAGCAGCCACAGCTCCTGGGAACCTGCTGGTGTAAGTGATGACTAAATTTTTTCCCCATCAGAGCGACAGTGTTGATTTCTTGCTCTTCAAGCCAGATCATGTCTGATGCACCAGCAGGGAAGTGCTGTTGTGTTCCACGCCCTGGCAGAGCCTGGTGCTGACTATTCCCTTTGGCTTTACCCACAGGGCACTGTGAAGGCAGAGACAGGGGGTTGAGCCTCTGGGAGACCTCAAGTGTGAAGGCTGCAGCTGGCAGTGATGGTATGGTGAGAGCAGCTGTCTGTTTTGCTCCACTATGCTTGCACTCTAGCAAATAATGGTAAGTCTTAAAAGTAATTGTGAATCACATGTTAAAATTAAATTGAAATAAATAAAAAAAAGAGGGGGGAGGAAATACCTTTTTCTGCAAGGGAGTTGCTCCCACTTTGTCCCTAGGGACTAGACAGATGTGAGTATTGTAGAGATGAAGGTGCAGAGATTTCCCTCGTGCATGAGCGTTGGAATGAGGTCCTCTGGGCCTCCTGTTCCAGCATGTCCAAAGTGGCAGATGTGGCTTGTGAAAAAAACAGCAGGGCAGGAAGTCTGCAAGCTGCACTTGCTGTGTGCTGAGCTGGAGCAGCACAGGGGCTTACAGCTCTGTCCTGTTGGTTTCCCTGCTGCACTGTGTTCAGAGGCTCACTGAGGACACCCTGCACAGACAGGTGGGTGATGGGCTGCCCCAGTAAGGGACAGGAACTGTTCTGACTGAAGTGTGTCCCTTTAAGAGGTGCTGCTGGTTGAGCCTTGTCTGCCCTGCCCCTTGCTGGCCAGGGTGTTGAGGGAGTGTAAAGGGATTGCAGATGTGGGCATGGCTTTGCCATGACCTCTGTCCCAGTGGATCTGCTGGGGGAGTTGGAGTGTGGCACAGCTGCACTGGGTGAGCAGCCACAGCTCCTGGGGACCTGCTGGTGTAAGTGATGACTAAATTTTTTCCCCATCAGAGCGACAATGTTGATTTCTTGCTTTTCAAGCCAGATCATGTCTGATGCACCAGCAAGGAAGTGCTGCTGTGTCCCATGCCCTGGCAGAGCCTAGTGCTGACTATTCCCTTTGGCTTTACCCACAGGGCACTGTGAAGGCAGAGGCGGGGTTGAGCCTCTGGGAGACCTCAAGTGAAGGCTGCAGCTGGCAGTGATGGTGTGGTGAGGGCAGTTGACTGTTTTGCTCTACCGTGTGTGCCCTCTGACAGTGAAGAATGGTAAGTATTGGATCCACTTATGTTAACTGGCTTAAAAAAGAAGGAAAAAATACCTTTCTGCAAGGGAGTTGCTTCTGCTGTGCTTTTAACAGCTTAATGTGTGTGAAGATTGGGCAGAGTAAAGACTTGAGTGTTGCAGAAAGGGCCCTTTTAAGTGTTAGACCACAGTATCAGTCCCTGTTAAAATACTCCAGTTTCCTGCAGGGATTAATGCTTTGTCAGTTGTTCTGGATGTGAAGATTTTTCACGTGATTGTTTTAATGTTCAGCTGAAGAGCATCTGTCACAGTGACTTCAGCCTTGTTTTCCCCTACCAGATGGGCAGTGCTGATGCAAACTTTTTTAGCCACATGGGTTCCAAAGGTGCATGATGCCTTCATGGCATATAAGGAGGCTCCTCTGCAGGGTGTGCTGCACGCTCCAAGGCAACACTAGAGGCTGCACCTACCATAGTAACACTGACATGTAACACTGATGTGTGTGAACAACTTGAGGATCAAAAGTGAAAGAATTCTTGCTTTCTGAAGATCCCAAATAAATGGCAGAGAGCTCTGACAGGTTTCAGTTTTAAGGGAATAAATATATTATTTTTGTCTTGCCCCATTTAAGCAGTGTTAAAATGAAGGGCTGCTTGAAAAGTCAGGGGGCTTTTGTTCTTTAAACTTCATTAGTTTTTGCTCCTTTGAATGGGAGGTTTTCAATGCCTTGAGAAGGGGGTCAAAGTCAGCTTCCAGAAATGTGTCTGTTGGCAAGAGAGGGATTGCTTTGGTGTCCTTTTTCTTCACGATCAACTATGTGACACCTGAAAACCTGTTTGGTTAAGATTTCACTAAAGCTTTAGAAAATGTGCTTAACAGAACTTCATTGGATAAAACACTTGTTGGCACTGGCTCACTAAGTTCCAGCCCCATGCAGCTGCTCTGTCTCCAGGGGGGCTGAAGTGTCTGAAGAGCAGCACTGTGTCCTGTACCTGTACCCCTGGATGCAAAAGGAAGCAAGTGCTCTGTGTCAGACAGTGGAGCTGGTTGAGCTGACTGAATATGTTTCTCTGGCACTCTGCTCTGTCAGCTCCCCCAGGCTGTTGGCAAGACCTGCTCTAGAAGCTCCCACAGTGCAGTTTAAGTGCATCCTGGGAGCAAGTTTCTGCTCTTTGCAGAGCAACCCTTATCTAATAGGGGGTTTTGAGGGTGCTGGGGGTGAATTTGAAAGCTGTATATTTGCTGTGTGTGGCAGAGTGTTCAGACAAAATAAAATGTTGGCTGTTTTTTTGACAGGTTGAGATTTGTCAGAAGTTGTCCTGGGCCCTGCTGGGGTTTCAGTGTTTTGCTAATGAAGACGGATGCTTCTGCTGCTCCTGTGCTGCTGCCTCAGATCCTTGTCCAAGCCACAGCATTCACATCACCCTGTGACAGCTCTGGCCTTTCTCAGAGCTGGCAGGAGTGATGAATTGGTGTCCTGCCAACTTAGATGGAGGGTGTCACATTTTTTTATCTCCTGGGTATGAGGCATGTAACTGAAATGGATTCTGGAACTTGCTGCATGTTTAATGCAGTTTGGATGCTTTTGTCTGCAGGGGCTGCATTCCCTGCCTGACAGCTCATGTTATCCTGCCCCTGTCATTACAAGCAAGGAAGGCTCTCCTTGGAGCAATGACAAGTACAGGAGGGCCTTGTGTGTAAGGAGAGGAGTCAGGGCTTGGCTCTCCCCTGCCATCCAGAAAGCTTTAGTGGTTCATCTCTGACAGCTTGTGAAGTGAGAAAGTGGCATCTGGGATGCTGCAGTGCAGTGTGTTTTTGTATTGTATAGAGCCTGTTTAATAAAATCTGAGTACTGGGTGAACTCAGCTGGTTACTGAAGTTTTCTTTACATAGTTAACAGCTCATACCTCGATCTCCCACTTGTTAGGGGAGTTGGGAGAGCACGGAGCGCAGTGGTGATGCTGTGTAGGGCTGATGAAGCTGCCTCAAGCCAAGAGAGAAGGCATGATCTCATGGCAGTAGAGCTTGGCTTGGGGCTGTGACTGCTGCTGTGCTGCAGGAGGTGTCATGGGGTCTGTACAGAACAGCGAGTGCTGCAGGTCCCTGGTCTGTGCTGAGGGGAGAGATGCACTCTGTGCATGGCTTCTGGCCAAGGCTCTCCCTCAGCTGCTCCTGGAGCATCTGTGTGGGAGCAGCTGGTGTAGAACACTTGTCTGAGGGGGTTTTGGCTAACCTGGTTCAAGGTTAGATGAGCATGTTCTCAGGTAAGTCACTGGCCTTGCAAAGTCTCCCATACATGAGTCTTACAGGGAAGTGACACAATCTGGGAAGGAAGGGGAAACTTGTCAGGTCTGTGAGGATTTGGATGTTGCCTCTGGTGTGTCAGGAACACCTTTGGCCAGACCTGATGAGGGATTCTGCAGCCTTCCCTGTGTGCTGCTTGGGAAACTGCCAGGTTTGCAGAGCAGGAACATGAAACATGGATTGCTGGGGGAAAAGAAACAAAAGGTATTTCCAATACCAAATTTCTCAGTCCCAGAGAGGTAGTCAAGAGCACCAGGATGCCTTGCTTCCTGTGTCTGCCATACCCCACATCGACTGACTGCACGTCTGCCTCGGCAGGTGACAAAGGTGTGTCAGGGCACTGTGCTGGGCCATGTGCGGGGAGTGGGGAGGGCTGGGGCTGAGACTGGATCTGGGGCTGAGACTGGATCTGGGGCTGAGAATGGAGCTGGGGCTGAGACTGGATCTGGGCCTGGGCCTGGGGCTGGGGCTGAGACTGGGCCTAAGCTAGGCCCAGCCCGGCCAGCAGGGGGCGCTGTGCGGCCGCTCCAGCGGCTCCAGCCCCTCAGAGCTGGGGGGGGGCGGGCGGGCCCAGAACGGGCCGTGCCAGGGGCGCCTCGTTCGGTGTGACCAGAGACCACCCAAACCTGCCACAACTGACCCCAAATGGGCTGTGCCAGGGGCACCTCGTTCGGTGTGACCAGAGACCACCCAAACCTGCCACAACTGACCCCAGAACGGCTGCGTTGGAGCCTCCCAGTTAATGGAGAAACTAGCACAGACTTCTGGGGCTGTAGCACGTGTGGAGCTAAGACAGGCCCATTTGGAAATTTCTTACTGTGGTGCTTTGATAAGAGATGGGCACAGGCAGGTTTTACACTGACTTTAAAGCAGTCTGTCCTCAGAGCTACCCCTGACCTGACCCCTGCTAGCCCTGGTCAGCTCCTGTGTCCACTGGGTGGTTTGACTGAGGAGATGGAATCCAGGAGGAATGTTCTGGACAAAGGCTGACTTGCTTTCTCTGCCCACAGAGCTCCCAGCCAGCTCTGGAGGCCGGCAAAGCACAGTGACCGCATGGGAGTGGCTGAGCAGGGCAGTGGGGACAGGCAGAATTGTTTAGTTGTAACAGGAACAGACCTTGCTGTAGGTACTTGTGTAACTTTCTAAACTGAAACCTGGAGTCATTCACTGGGCTGGTATGTTTAACCAAATGTTTACTTTTCTCAAACAGATCTGTCTCTTGGTGCCATGAGCATCTGAGAGGAAAATGCAACAGATTATTTCTCTGTCTGATGTTGCTTTTAATAGATTTTCATACACAGGGAAAGGTTTAACATTTGTATTCCCAAAGACCCAGGCATATCTTGACTGCATGGTGATGATTATATTCTTTTTAGACCCACCTGTTAGCAGCTGCATTAACTTATAGCAAAGCACAGTCCAGTAACTCATTGCTGCTTCTACTTCTTGTGTGATTTCCTCTTCCATCTCTGCTCAGTGATAGATTGTCAGACACATCACATTACCATGGACAGCCAGTGAAGCACAACTCAGGTTTGTAACTGCCCTAGGAAGATCCAGATTTCAGGACCCTCAAACTGCCCCACAGGCAGTAAGGGGAAGACTCTGTTTTGAAGCAGACTGTTTCTGTCTCCTGCAGCATCCAGTGTTTTAAATAGATGTTCTGCAGCTATAGCCTTCTCTTTGTCTTCCATCCTTTTTGGCAGATCCCTTTTAGTGGTGGGGTGTCTTGGAAATGGAAGCAGGTTTGGGATCCCTTCTGTCTGTGTTACCTGAGAATCTGCCTGATTTCTTTAGTGTTATATTTGGAAAAATGTCCACTAGATACTCTGCACTTGTCTGTGCCTGCTGCCTTCTCTGCTCAGTTTTGAATGCTGTGGATGGGTCACCTTGAAGTCTTCCCTCTAGTGCTCAGGATAAGCTTGACGGCCTGAGCCTTTTCTCAAAGCAAATACCAGATCCAGGGGCTGCCCTCATTTCTCTGCTTTGCAGATTCCCTCGGGTTCATGTACCGTTCCAGGGCCAGCAGGACCTTTGGAGGTGCACTCAGCACGGACAGCAGGATGGCAGGATGGGAGGTGTCCTTCCTGCGGGCTGGGAAGGCTCAGCTGCTGCTCAAGGGTGGTCAGTCAGCATGTCCAGCCCCACGAGGAGCTGCTTGCCCAGGTGGGTTCTGTGCAGCCCTTTCCCAAGAGCCCCTCCCTGGAGGTAGGGTGGTGTGTCCACACCCAGGGCTGCCCTGAGGACACTGCTCAGGCTTTTCTGCTCTGCACCTGCTTGCTCTTCCTGCTGTGGCTGGCTGCAGTCAGCAGCATCCTGGGTCAGGGCTGCTCCTTAGTTGACAGGTGAGGCTTGTGCTCACACACATTGGAGTACTTGGACTTTGGCCTGGGACAGAGCCAGGTCAGTTCTGGGTACTGTTTCTCAGTGAGAAGAAATACTGAGCTCTACCTCTGCCCTTGTTTAGCAGCCTGGAGTATGTGCACTCACTCTCTGCTGCTCAGTTGCAGCAGTGGTGGACACTGCCTAACCCCCACCAATATTCCCAAATCCAGGCTGCTGATGAATGAAGTTGGTTGCCATGTCATGCAAATGGCTGCAGATCATCTGCAGCCTCACAAGAGCAGTGCTGTAGTTGTTACACTGGCTTGGTCTTCATTCATGCTTGCAAGAATGTTGTCTAATAAAAGGATATAAAAACATTTTTTCTCTGAGATATAGCCCTCATGGGGAAAGACCTGTCCTGAGAGTAAATCCATTTTTTGGTGGATGTGGATCAGGCCCTGGACACCAGCGGTTCAAAGTAGACTTTTCCTTTGAGTATTTGCTGTCACTTTTTCTTTACAGCAGGATATTTATAGGTGCAATTTTCTTGGAAATCTACAGAGGAGGACTGGAAGTGTCTGAGAACTTTTGTTAGTCAGCAATTTATGTTGCTGTGGAAACGCTGTAGCAGGGCTTGGGAAAACTGCCTGGAGAAAAGGGTGTTTGCCAAAGGTGCCAGCAGCAATGTGCATCTCTGGCTGGTTCCTGGCTTACCTAAACCTGCGCCTCAGGCACGTCCTTCACAGCGGCTGCTGCTGTGTCATAGGGGTGACACATTTTGTGTTTTTGTGCTGCTGGTCATGATTTCCTTCTGTAAACCCGCTCTGTCACTCCTCTGAACTATGAGCACGGTCCTGCCAGCCTTCCCTCTGATCCAGGATGATGTGCTGGGTACCTAAGTGCTGTTGAAGTTCTCCTCGGTGGGGTTGCTGGCTGCAAAGGTAAGTAGCAACGTTGGCGGGGGTGAGAGGGACGCTGGTGAGGCCTCGCTACTCAAAAGGAGTTACAGTGACTTGGTGAATGCATTTGCACACCGACTTGGCTTTTTTCCCTGCCAGAGCTGACCAGGTACACCTGCTGTTCCATAGCCCTTTGGCAAGTGGAAGGCTTGGTGAGGAGGGGTCAACTGCCGACTCATCTTGTTAGTTTATAAAGTGGTTGCAAATCTGCTCCTTGCTGTTCTTTTCCTGCCTTTTTTTTTTTTTTTCCCTGCACTGGAGAAAAGTACTTGCAGGAATAGAGCAGGGAGGAAGCACAGGGGATTTTCTTGGTGCCAGAAAGCAGAATCAGGACTGTGTGGATGGGATGTGACAGACACAGAGGATGGCCCACCCTACTGCCCCAGCCTTTTCCTTACCATCTGTGAGTGGATGCCTCTCTTGCCCTGTGTTGCAGGCTGCTGGAAAGGCATTAGTGGGTTCTCCCTTGTTGTTTTTCCTTTTTTTCCCCTTCTTTCTTTAAACAAAATGGAAAGGTCACAGTCTCCTGAGCTGCCTTCTCCCTGCCTGAATTGTGACAGGGAAACTAAAAAAGGCACCTGTCCATGGATGAGCCTAATGATTCTCCCTCACACTGAAGAGGAAAGCTCACCCTTATCTGGGTGTTCTCAGATGTTCCCTCTGTCTGATGGGAGTCTGTCTATCCATCACAGCATTGTTCTTCCCCCAGCTGTGGCTCAAGTGCTGGGAGGAGGAAGATATAAAGCTGCCTGGGAGGTCTGCAAGGGTGACAGAAGACAGGATCTCTCAGGTCGTCAGGAATGCATCGCTGGGTTCAGCCACGGGTGAGTTGGGGTTTGCTTTAGGTTTGCCTGATCCTTAAACCTACAGAGGATCCCTGAGAGATGGTGGGGCTGGTAGTCCTGTAGCGAGGGAAGTGTTATGAGGATCTTTCAGGGTTTATTCATCTTCATTTCCCTCATACTGGGAGCAAAGACCTCAGGAACTGGAACACTAGGAACAGTCCCCCTGTCCGGTGAGAGCTGTATGCATGGTGCCCTGGCTTGTGGCTTCTAAAAAAAAAAGTTAATTTCTGGAGGGGAGGAAAAAAATCAGTGCATCTTATTCCGAGTAAAATAAAGCAAAATCTTTTTCTTTCTGCATTTACTGAATTGTGAAGTGCAGAGCTGACTTAGTTCTGCCTAGGGAATATGAAAGCTTGACTGCTCAGTGCCTGCCCGTGCCACCTTCTGCTCTCATTTAAGAAAATAAATGTGATCATTTCTGTCATGTAAATTGTGTCAATTGAATAAAGCTGTTAAATAGGTGAGGTAGTGATACAGGTTCTGTTTATTTTCATCCCTGCTATTACTGCATCTGCTGCTGGTTTCACTCAGAAATGCCAGTCATGAAAGAACCCTCTGCTGAGGTTGACTTTGGTGAGGTTGGGTCAATGCTTTGGTTTTTAGCTCTATTTTCCATCATATTTCTGTGCTGCTTCTTAATGTTCTGTGGAGTGTTCAGCTGTCATGTGCAGAGAGAGAATTTGTGCAGATGGGTGGACTTGAATGTCCTGTGGAAATGCATTGGTTGTAGGTAAGGCCTCTGGTTTCCTCACCTGCTGCCCTATTGCAAATAAACATCTGCTTCTCTGTACTTTAGCTGTAACTTTGATAACTTACAAGGGACAATTTACTACATAATCCTGTTAAAACAAGGGCAAACAGGTACATTTCAAGAGCAAGAGACAACGTGGCTCCAGAGAAGGGGCCCAGAAACTGGGCATCATTTGTTCTGGGTTTGGTCCTACAGACACTGGCCAAGTGAAGAGCTCCAGTGATGGGAACCATGGCACAGGTGAGACTGTTTGGTGGGAAGGACCCAGTGGGATCAGGTATTTCTTCCAGCGCTGGAACAGTGATTTCCACAGCACTTGAAGGTTGGAGAGTGTGCCAGGTGTGCCTGACTCAAGGCACCTGTAAAGGCCATGCACTCAGGTATCCCTGGTAGGCAGAGGCATGGATCAGACCAGGAGTTTTGAGGACTCCAGGAACTCTGCACAGCAGAGATTAAACTGGGGTCTGTTCTCTGACTTCTTTGGCTTCTTGACAATTTGACAT